TACTACTATATATATATATATATATATATATTGCCAAGCTTGCATTTCTATAATATTATAGAAACCGTGTCTTTAAATGAATGCAATCATTCAAACAATTAGGTATTATTGTGTGGGATCAATTAATATACAATTTGCTAATAATGGGTGGTTAAGAGCTTAACGCTACGTAACAGTTGTTTAACGCACTGTAGTAGTATTTTAGAGAGTTACGTATGCATAAAAAAAGAGGGGTTACACGCATCTCAACATTAATGAACGGTTGAATAGGTATTGGAAAAAGTAATTAATCAGGGTGGAAAGTCCTAAAATTATAGAGGTAAATATGTTACATTTTGAAAGGAAAAATTTATCACCAAGACGTAATTACAAAATAAAACATATTAACATTTGAAAAAGTATAGGATGAGACCATTTAACTTTGATATAAGGTGGTCATATTAATCTTGACCATTGAATGTGAAATTGGGTGGATGTAATTATTCCATTGACAAAGGTCAAACTTCAAAAGAAATGTTTTCGAACTTCGTAACATATCCAAGCTATCAAATTTCACATCAAATGGTTATAAGGACTAGTGACCATGTTGTATCAAAGGTAAATGGTCTCATTATATATAATGTATTAACATTTTATTTATTTTAATAATGGGGCTTGGGTTAAGAGAGTAGTAATTGAGTTTTCATAGCACTACGCCTCAAGTTCCATTCCTATGTAACCTTTGTCAGAAAAACAAGAACAAAACATTTTATCTATTTCTTCTCATTTTATTTCAAAAACTCAATCCAAAATATGCAAGGTCACCTTTAGAATACTTGAAAATGCGAATATTAATATTAAAGGGTTTATAAGTTAGGTATATTTTGATAAATTTTCTTGTTTTATATAGTAGAATGGTCATCCGAACTACCGTTTCATCAATCCAGACTGATTTTTGGCCGGTTCACTATATGTTTTTTTTTGCCAGTTTACTATTTTATCCGCATAGTAAAATACTATCCCAATCATTGATTCACCGATCTAGATCAAGTTTTGGCCAATTCACTACTTTTTTAGCCCATTCACCATTTTTCTACACAATAAAACATCAATCCAGACCTCCGATTCACCAGTCCAGAGCAATTTTTGGGATATCCAATCCGAGTTACCCATCCATTTTTTAAAAAATTACCATTTATAAACCATTACATATGATATTTTGATAGCTTGTGTTGAAAGAAAAATTCTTTTGAACTTTAAGCTTAGTTAATGGAATAAAAAAGTAGCCATATAATTTACATCCAACAATCAATATTAATTGTGGTTACCATATACACAAAGGAAAGAGTCTCCTTATACACTTATCCTTCTCATAAAGCCTAATGCTTATTTTCACCTTTTTTTTTATCAATTTTTAATATTTTATTATTTTTAACTATTCCAACTCCTTATCATATATTTTTTGTGAATTTTAGAATTAAATTAGATGTAATAAAATATTAAATAATTCATCTTTTAGGCGTATTTTGATGAATTTTTTAGAAAACGAAATGTCGAAATTACCCCTTTTGTCAGATTAATGCCAAACCGAAATAAAACGTTAAAAACCTGAAGGGCAGAAATTGACCCGGCCAACCAATAACAAAGCTACACGTGGAAAGGCGTAAAAAAATATTCGCAGTAAAAAAGAATTATTACAAATAATAAATACCCCTTTTATGACGAGTTAACTGATTTTTTTCAACATTTTCGTTGAAGTTTCTCCTTCAGCTGATGCTCACTGGTTTAGGTATGGCCATTTTATTTATTTATTTTCTCTAATACCATTTCGTCTTGTTTTTATGAAATATTCATTATTGGACTGTTCAAAAATTCTTGTTTTAATGGTGTTCTTATCTCTAGTGTGTGGCCCTTGTTTGGTTGCATTTGATCGTTTCTAGGTTTTCTGTAAGGGTTTTGTGCATGTCATGTTTCACTGCGATTTAGGGTTAGTTTCATGGTCCAATTCGAGTTTGTGTGGTGAGTTTCGTATGGTGTTCGTGCGCTTTAGGGATAAATTGTCTTACTTATTTGTGGGAAAAAATGGTGGATGAAGTGTTGATCTGTGCATATAAAGCAGATTTTTTAGGGATTTGTAGTTCTAATAGTGAGAATTAAGAGGTGAATTGAGATGGTGATTGGTGTTAGGGTTAGGTGATGATGATACATGATTAGAGTGATGCAAAGTTCTGGTTCTCTGTTTACGTGATCTTAGACACTTTAGCATGCTCAAACAGTTCTAGTTTAAGACCTTCCTTTCTTTGGGTATTTTTAATGATTTATTGGGCTTAGTGATAGAGGGAATCAGGGTTGATTTTGGGCTACAACAGCTTAGTGAGAGACTTCTTCCTGCGAAATGCTTATCTCTGATAAAGTGTGTAATGTGATTTCTGAGATTTCGGTATAGCAATGCCCTACAACAGTAGAAATTAGTGAAACTACTAAGTGTATTCAAGACCTATGAAAAGGTGCATGAGCATGCTAACTGGAAAGTGCATGTCAAATTAAAACACTTACGAACCAATAAGAGGTTTTCTTAAGAAAAAGAGGAGCTTGCAAGGATACTGGGGGCAATTCAAAGTTCCGTTTGTTGATAATTCCATGGGAATTGGGGATTGGGCACTAGGTGTTTGGAACTTTGGCTTTGCTACCTATTGGTGAAGCAGTTTCCTGGTACTCTTAGGCTGGTTCGGTTCTTGCACACACTCACACACACTGAGGTGAAGCTCGTACAAACAAGCAAGCATAATTTAAGTTTCTTGACCCAGGCCATCGAATTAGAGGGCCAATAGTGTGTTTGATTCTGGTTATTAAAGCAACTGAAGAGTGGCATTGTGGAGCTTAAAAATGTTGGATAACTTGAGTTGCTTTCAAGCATCTGAATATAGCATGTGCGCTTGGGAATGTGTGCTCCTAATAGAGCAGTCACATTCAGCACATGAGCCCCTCATATTACTGCCATAAAGCCTTAGATTGTTTTATTGGGCTCTAATCCTTCCTTTGTTGCCCTAAAACCTTAGCTTTGATTGTAAATGCCAATTTTGGGTCCCTTAAGTGTGAGTGGAAACATTAAGGATCGGTTAAAGGAGCTTTGTGAAACTTCTTTGTTTTGATTGACAGCCTTGTGACGCTTTCTTTGGATATCTGGGTTGGATTGACCCTTTTGCTGCTGAAGCTTGCACTTTATTGTCTGGTCTAAGGGCCATGAAATCCTTTTACTAGCTCTCTAGTCATGGACTGTGTTAGGTGAGCTCCTCTAATGTTTTCTATTCCCTAGAAGATATGGAAATATTTTAGAGGAGGGTTTCAAGATGTTCTGAATGATAGATGTCTCTATTCCTTTTATCTTTTGTGTGGCGAATGTGGAAGTGAAAAGTTAGTTTGATCCAGTGTTCTTGGTTGTTCATTGTTGTGTGGGGTCTCCCGCAATTTGGTCCTACTTTTTCATTTATTTGTGAACAGTTGTTTGCAACATTCTTGCTATTTGATGCATACTCTATCTAGCTATGATTGAGAAAGACACTATAGAGGAAGCAAATATCCAATCTATCGAAAAACATATTTATGGGGTTGGTGCTTTTCTTGGTACATCAAAGTTGAGCTCATTTTTCCTTCCCCCTTGATCTACCTAAGTTCCTACGCGCCTATCTTTGTTGTCCATAGACACACTGAATCCTTATATGTAGTGTCAAATGGATATCATTAGTCATCACTTGGACATTCATTTGAATGTTTTGAAAGGGCCCCACTACAATTTTATCTTTAGGGGCCACAATACATGAGCTGAAATAAATAATCAATATGAGATTTTGTATTAGAAGTCTTTGTATTTTTACAGGTTGCATGCTGCATATAAAATACTTGGCATATATCTGTGTTCTGGAGGTAGCACTTTTCTTCGATAGTGAACTACGCCAAAAGTAGTTTTAACATTATTGTGGGGCAATCTACAATTTCCTCTGAACGTGTGCCAATCCATCTGATTTATAATTTGGATGCAGTGTATGAGATCAGATAGTGGTTCAAATGAGCTTTACTTACAGAAATTTGATTGTTTAAGTGAATCAAGAATGATTGTAATTTGTGTTTTTCCCCTGAACGTCATCCACAGATGGCTACTAATTGGTTCTTACTTTTATTAGCACATCAAGAGTGGAACTCATACAGTTTATCCCCCCCTCCAAAAAAAAGGAGATGAAGTGTCTTGGCATATTTATTCCATGCCAATTTGAGAACAAAGGAGATTTTTGAGAAACTTAGCATTTTTATGTTGGTCCTAACTCTCAAAATTGTGGGAGGTTAGATATTATTCTGGAAAGTTATCATTATTAAGTTTTTTCTTATAAGCTATTTGTTCTATACTTCATTTACTTCCAAACAGGTTGCTATCTTAGTCTAACAATGGCTTTTGTCCCATGCTAGGTGCCTACAAAACCAGGAAAGGAGCTTGAGTCATTTGCCTGGGAATTCACTCAAAATGAGGGGTTATCATATTGGATTTGTATAGAAAGTGTGATGATTATCCATGCTCCAGAATGAATTTTCACATGCAGAATTCTTCTCGAAGGGAGGGAAGACACGCACAGTTTGCTGGATGTCTTTGTTTTGCTTCATGATAATCTTATCAGATGTGACCTATATCTTACTAAAAAAAGTTACATGTAACCTTTATATTTCGTTTCAATTTAGAGGTTTTTCATACTTTGATACACAAAGTGAAGTGATTTAATCCACCAAATTCTTATGATGGATGACTTTCTTGATCAATTCTTGTCATCTTCATCATGGTCAGACTTGAGTTCAACAACTAGATCATCCTGGAATGGTGCTGCAGGCCAGACAAATGGCCTACTTGCTGACCCTGTGGGCTTGTATGTAGATGGCCCAAAAAACCCAACCACAACAGTGGTTAACCCAAGCCTTATAATTGAGAATCTAGGCAATCAAAGACATGCTCATGAAGGTACTACTGAAAATCCAAACTATGGTCTCAATAAGGGGCTGTTTCCCGTGCAAAACCAACCAACTAGAGAAGCTCAAGATCTTGGTTCAGCTCAATCTGAACACAATAAAGAGGCTTCTGACAGAACTTTTCCTTTGCAGCAGGCTCTTGAGAGTAATGCAACAAGTGGGTCCTTAGGCCACCAACTCAATGCATCTGGGTCGGTTACTCCAACTTGTAGTTCAGCCCAATATCTTCCTGGAGTCGGAGGTTCAAATGGAGTTGTTGGTGGGTTGATTGAACATGGTTCAGGTGGAACTAAGGGGAATGAGACTGTTGGGTTTCAACAGTCCATTGGAGATTCACTTCCCATAAATTCAGCTGGCGCACTTTTGCGCCCATCATATGGTGGTGTTCCTCTGGCTCCAATTATGGGGCAGGGGAAACTGGAAGGATTTGGATTGCGCAATGATTATATGGAAGGTGATGCCAATCTTTTGGGTAAGGGATATCTGGGGGTTGATAAACTGCCACTTCTGGAGAACATACCTGCTACGTCTGTAAATGTATGGCCCTGATAAGACCACACTTGGAAGTTGCTTTTGGAAAATGCCTATTATTCAATGGAACACCGGAAAACATAGTCCATTTTCATCACTGTCCAATGAACTGATGTACAAATGGGGAGTGTGTGGACTGACCAGAACAGAACATGGCTCAAATGCTGGGTCTCGACTCTCTCTCCATCACTGTCTTACATTTCATCACATGGTTATGATCAATGGACTATGATTCTCCATAATCTCTTTGGCTAAAGTATATTTTCCTTTCCTTTTTGTTGTATCTGCTACATTTAGAGCACCTAACTATATCTGACATTCGCAACATCAACGTGATGCAGGAGCAAGATGAACCTTGCAACTCTCATTTGCCTTCTTTTGCCACTGGACCACAAATAATATCACCTAGAACTGGTGGGTTGCCAACTCATCAGCAGGTATGAATCAGCTACTTCATACATTCCTTATCAAGTAAGAAACTGTTTTTGGGGAAACACATATTATAGCCTAATGGACTATTGAAATCATAGTCGATTTGGGTTATCACATTCGAATGAAATGTCCCAAATTAGTGGGTGAAGGTGATGGCCCCAATAGACTATGCTTTTCCCTGGTGAATTGGTCGTGGCCCCACGCCCTACAGTCCTCCGGCGGGCCCGGACCTGGCCTCTGTGGGTCCGGTGGAGACGGCAGGGAGCGGGGTCGTGACAGAATTTGATTATAGCAATTTTCTGTGACTCACATGAGTCAAATCAGACTCGGTTGAGTTACTTGGACTTGCCCTGTGAGTGTGACCGAGTAAGGTGTACACCCTTATGTTATATTATCCATAATATTATGTTCAGTTTAATTCGAATAACTTCTAATGTCTTCTTGGCTACTGTTTACGGTTTATGGGCCTCATGTTTTCGAACCCCGTCAAACTCCACCATACCACCCTATCTTTTAAAATAAACACCACCACACCACCCTATCCTTTTAAATGCATGTCTTTTTTTCTATATATATATTTTTTAAGGGGTTCAAAAAAGTTGTCATGGGGTAGTTCATTCCTCAAACCTCTGGTAAAGAGCCCACAACATCTAACCAAAGTTCCATTTGGTTATATATAATAACGTTATATATATGTATAAAAAAAAGTATGCCACATATATATCTATATACAATATATAATGTATTTTTTGTTTTTATTTTTATTTTTATTTTATATAAAGTACTTTTTTGTTTTTCTTTTTATTTATTTATTGTTGAATGAGGGCTGAACTCAGGCGAGTTAATCAGACTCACCCGAGTAACTCGCCTTGGCCAATGGGAAGTACCCTGGCAAGTCGAGTCCTAGTACCTTGGATTATTGTTGTCTGGTGCCTTTCTATTCTTGGTCCTCTATGGACAGTTGCTGAAATCTAATGATCCAAATTCTCGGAAGCATGGTGGAAACCAATCCATTTCTCAGTTACATCCGGTGGCTGCTACTGGGGGTGGCTGTAATGGAGGTGTTAGGCCACGTGTTAGAGCACGTCGAGGCCAGGCCACTGATCCACACAGTATTGCCGAGCGGGTTAGTATTTCATTGTTATAGTTTATGAGGAAAATCACTTGGTATAATATGGATGTTCATTATCTAGTGCAATTCATTTATAAAACAGTAGTCAAGTGAAACTGTTTTTCCCTCAAATATGGTATAGATTTGCCAGTTGATGGATGTATGGTGTCGGAGAGTTGGGCCCACCAAAGAAATGACCTGACCCAAGTGGTAGGTCCCACTTTTCTCTCCAATGCTGTTCATCCACATGGTGTTGGACTGGTCTTAATAGTGGTTAAGCCACCTGGTTCTACCAGATAATTTATCCCAAAAAAAAAAAGGAACTTCCAAGTATTGCTGTGTAATAATCTATGAAGCATAAAAGTTGGTTGTTGAATTCAGAGGGACAGAAGTAGAAAAAAATTGATGTTGTCATTTCTGTCTGGGTTTGTTTCTAGAACCTGCTTTTTGATTTCTGGCATTTTGATATTCCTTTGATTATTTCTCGAATAATTGCAGCTTCGGAGAGAAAAAATTGCTGAAAGGATGAAGAATTTGCAAGAGCTTGTTCCAAACTCCAATAAGGTACTTGCTCTTGTCTGTGATTTGTAAGAGTGAACCATCAGTCGTTAGTTCCTGGAACCTCTTGGGTTTGGCTAGACAATTGGAAATATGACAGAGTAAATGCACGTAGTTAAGATTGCATGCTAATAACTCACATTCTACTAAAAAGAAATGCCCATGGAAATTGCCAAGTATCATTTATGAAACCTCTCAAAGGGAAGAAGGATTCATTCTACCTACCATAAAGTTAGTCATGTAGAGAGATTCTACTTACCATAATTCATTTTACTTGAGATGTGAAAATGAATGTCATTGACTGAATAATCACTTTAGGAGAACAATATCATATACCTTATTAAGAGAAATATCTTTAAATGCCATTGGATTGAAAGCAACGTGGATGTATTGTCATTGCTTGCACAGAGTAAGTGGGGCAGGAGAAGTGAGCCCATGAATCTAAATTCTTTCTTCATGTGAAACTAAACTTTCCAATTTCTTTGTGCAGACAGATAAGGCATCAATGCTTGATGAGATTATTGATTATGTGAAATTCCTTCAATTGCAAGTCAAGGTGGTGACTCTCTCTCTCTCTCTCTCTCTCTCTCAATATTTTTGTTTCTTCCCAACTTTTGGTGGCCTAGATTTGACTTCTCTTTTTTTTGTGTGTTTTTTGCTCATGCAGGTTTTAAGCATGAGCAGGCTTGGTGCAGCTGGAGCTGTTGTTCCCCTTATAACAGAAACTGAGGTGCGCATTTGGTTTCCATGCAGAGAGAGAGAGGGAGAGCAGGCATACTGGTTCTTGCCATGGTTAATAGGTTCGAGTGGTCTCCTTGTCTGTCACAGGAGAGAGAGAGAGAAAGAGCTCACATCTTGTATGTCTTGTATGTTTGACAGGGCTCGAGCAATCTCTTGTTGTCGACATCAGCTGGGCAGGCCCCAGATCTCTCCGAGTCTCAGGATAACATCGCATTTGAGCAAGAAGTCATGAAGCTCATGGAGTGCAACATGACCTCAGCCATGCAATATTTGCAGAACAAAGGCCTCTGTCTAATGCCTATTGCTTTGGCTTCTGCCATCTCAAACTCAGGTAAACAGTCACCTGAAAACAAATATTCCATGGCTGGAATCCAGCCGCTCTCTCCTGGAAGTGATAATCTGATAGTTGAGAACATACTAGAGAGAGAAAGGAAGGAGCTTCCAAATGGGGCTGTGATCAAGCAACAAGAGAAGCAGAAGCCTCTTCAGCGTATATAACCAACCCAGATGTGATAGTTTCTATTTATTGTTTCCTCTTTAGATTTGTCTTCTGTAGAGAGAGAGAGAGAGAGAGAGAGAGAGCTTTTGAGTCGTCGTATGCAGAGAGATGGTCATAGGCTGTGATCAAGCAAGAGGAAATTTGATGCTTCTTCATGGTGCATAACCAACCCAAAGCTGTTGAAGTGTCTATTTATTGTTTCTCTATTTATGTGCCTTGTGTAGAGAGAGAGGTTGAGTCTTGGTAGGAACACAGATGGGTCATGCTTTGAGTTAATCAAGTTGTTTAGAGTTTTGAGTTTATTATGTCGAGAAGGTATTTATGGGTGTATTTGATTCCTTTAAAGTAAATTATAAATAAATGAGAATTGTACCCAAAAACTGAGAAGGTGCAAGTACAGGAAGTATTTGAAAATTAGAAGAAATTATGGTGATTTTGGATAATGTTTCTTGGAAACTTTACTCTACGTCCCCACCCCTATATATTTTACCTGTCTTTTGGATTTGAGCTTTTCGATTTGAATGGACGGATGAGAAAGCCCCAATTGTCATTTCATATCATGCCTAATAAACACTATTTTATTTTTAGCTCTTTCTAAAACTGACATTGAGCACCAAATTTGGGCACACGAAATTGTAGCATGGGAGTATGTGCTGTGGATTATAGTTATCAAGATCGGATATGTCAAATGCTGATTGGTGCCTTGTCCTATCTAGTTTGAAATAAAAAACAGATTTGGTTGTGCTTAGAACCAATGATAAGTTTTGATTAGTCGGATCGATTGGTTTTGATTGGCAAGCTCATCTTAATGATATAAAAAATATATTTATATTTTAAATTATTATTTTTTAAAAAAGTTATTTTTAAAATCTAACTCAACTGTTTCAATTGGCACTCTCCACTTTTAGTGCACAAGAACCGTCGCCAATTTGTTCACCAGACCGGTTATATTAAAAGGATTTTATGGTGAGAATTTTTTTTCTTTTTTTTTTTTACAAAGAGTTATACAATCATTTTTAGCTATTGAATGTGGAATCTAATAGATTGAAGTGTGTTATGATATTAGAGAAATTTTACCTTGGACTTTTAGCCCAGTCAATGATATATCCCTAACTATTTGATTTATATCTAATGGTTAATAATAATTATGATAATCTTATATAAAAAGCAAGTGGTATGTTTTTTATACTAAAACTTTGAGTCAACACGAGCCTTCCTAATTGAGAGAAAAAGTAATCTGACAAACAAGAAAAGCTATTTTGAATATGTTAGATTCAACTTCTTGGAAATAGTTTATGTGGAGTTGAGGCTCTAAACAGTAAAATTAGAGCGTATATCTAAAATTTCATTAGAAGTGGTTGTTTTGATGCCCAAATATCATCAAATTGATTATGTCAATATCAAGATGTATGAACATGAGAAAAAAAATAGATTTTAAGTTTTGGAAATAACATATCTTGTAATGCATTTTTGGATCGTTAATTTTCAAAATTTTCAAGTTTTCATAGATCTGCACGATCTATGCTATTTTTGAAGCTTTAAATTTTATAATTAGAGATGAAAATATAATTTAATGCAATGACAAAGATTTTCCAGTATTGAAACCACACTTCTCGACACCATTTGAGGGTGAGCTCTATTTTGATTGTTTAGAGCGTCGGTTCTATACGAACCGCACCCTAGTTTTAATGATGGGTTTGAATCTTGAAAGATATAGCTGTGGGAGCTGTCTTCCAATTTTGTATTTTTTTTTTTGGTGATGCTAAATACCATTACCATAAAAAAATGTGGTGTAGTCCCGGTTATTAAATGGGGAAGTGCTACAAAATTAGGAAGTGATAGTTTACACAATTGTCGCTTCCAAATATCAAACTTGTCCTTTAAGAATCAATTCGCATATTACAAAGAAACTTTGCAACATGTAATGAATTCTTATGCAACATTACTCTTGTCTATTGGGTTTCAAATTAGGTGGTTGTAAAAGTGTCATTGGAAATGCTCAAAGTTCAAAAAAAAAATGGACTTCTAGCCCAAGCAATACAATTTGACATCTAATAAATATGAGTTATTGTGACATCCTTGTAATAAATATAAATGGTCTTATTTTATACAATCTCAATTTTTACAGAGATAAGATGGCAAGTCATAACAAAAAAAAAAAATCAATAATTCAAACAATCGATAAGGTGAAAAGAAAAAATGTTAAGCATACTTCTTTTTAACGTAGAGCGAGTCTTCCCTTACAATTGAGGGTTTATTCGAAAATAAAATTACTGAAAAGTGCTACTTCCTTTTCTCTTTGAATTCAACAAATGAAAGAGAGATTATCTTTGTTTTATTTGTTAAGGCAGTTACATTTAATATATCATTATATTCAACAAAATTTAAATTTTGATATACTTTTGTTTAGTACATGAAGCCTTTTTTTTTTAGTAAAGATGTATTTGGCCATGAAGAGAGATGTAAAGTAATTTATATGGGATGTGACGTCACCTACATTAAGCATTAAATGCTATTAAGTTGTTCTATGTGGATGATGTCACACCATTTTAATGACTAAAAGTACTTTTATTAAATAAATGCTCAATGTATAAAAAATATATACAAGTGTCTAAAATTTATTGAGTAAAATGATAAATTACTTATAGTACGAGCACCCCAACATAAACTTTATTTATAAATCAATGAGAGAGATGGATAATATATTTATAAATAAGAAAAAATTTATATAAGGTGCCAACCTTATATTGTAGAAGTAAAGTACACCTCAAAAACCTATCGAAAGATGTTATTTCGTCACTCAATTGAACATCTTGACCTTGTTATGTATATATATGAAAGAAAAAATGAATTTAAATACTAAAAATAATACACATCATAACACATTATTTAGACCATCTATTTTTAAGATTTTATATATTTATAGATTTGTAAGATTTACACTATTTTTAAAACTTTCAAAATAATCAAAATAGGTTATTAGGCCATTATTTCCACGTGAAAAATACATCTTCCAACGAGATTTTGAGGTCGACCTTACCTTAATTGTTTAAGGTTCACACCTTTTACAAACGTCGCCAATTGAGAGTCAAGCTCTTTTGGTAATTAAATTTAAAAAGGGTAAGGGAGAGCTTGCATGGTAAAACATGCCACGTTTTGCAGATGGCGATAGGGGAATGCCCCTTGTTCAAGTCATTTGCGGGGTTCAATGCTTAATAAATACCGCACAGCCCTTCTTCCTTTTCTAAGTGTGATGCCCCCTCTCTCTCTCTCTCTCTCTCTCTCTCTCTAAATAACTCTAATATTTAAGTCTGAAGATACTTTTTGTTGGCCTGAAAGCAATAATGGGTTCTTCTGAAGAAGAATTAGCAGTGACATTGGACGATTTGCAGAAGAAGCTTGGAAAGAAAAACTCCTTTGAAGATGCAGTTACTTCCATACAGGTCCTTCTTCATGACACATACCCAGTTGCTTCTCCTCCTCTCAAGGAAAAGGTTTCGCTCTCCCTCTTCTCTCTTGTGTGGAAAACTGGTCCCTTATCTCAAATCATTTTCATGTTTATTTTATTTTTTTATGATTTAGCTATGCATGTTTCAAATTATTTCTGAATATGGGTGGCATGTATTTTCATTTTTATGCGCTTCTTTCGTATGTACATTTATATATTTTTAGTTGGGATTTTTGGTGGGATTTTAAGATAAGAGAATTAGGATTTATGTTATCATTGTTTGTTTATTATGGGGGGTTTTTTGTTGAGGTTGGTAGGATTTGGAAGTCACAGGCATATGCGAGATTCTAATTATTCATATAATTTCTGTTTGATCACCCACATTGAAATTTTATCTGGGTTTGCGTTTTTTTCTTCCTTTGTGTTTTTGATTTTTAGTTTTTTGCAATGAGGAATCAGCAGAGTTGATGAACTTGTTCTTGGGTTTCTATGAGCAGGTGTTGGTTGCTTTCAGAAAGAAAAAAATTTAAAATATTTATTTGGAGTTCCTTTTTCTTTATGGGATTTAAGAGGATTCCATCAACACAAATCGGGACAGTTCATGAACTTGTTCTTGGATTTCTATTAGCATGTCTTGGTTGCCCTCAAAAGAAAAGAATTTGGATCTTCATTTATTTTTCTTTTATGGAATTTGGGAGGATTCAGTGAACATATACAATAATTTTATTTCCTGACAGTTTCTATAAAGTAGTTGTTTGCTAGACTGTATATGCAGAGGGGAGTTCTATGTGATAAAATTAAGGAATCTGAAAGGCTTAGACCTAGCCAAAAAGAAAAATGTTAAAAGTTGTATACAATTGTCCTATTGCACTGATCACACTAGGTCAATTATAAACAAGTGCTCTGATTTTTATACTTGGAGTTTGATTAAATTTCATATGCATTAAACTGGGTTTGTTGTTTGAAGATTATCATTCCAAAACCCCTGACTCAAATCTTCTTATGCATTTGAATTTTTAAAGAGACATAAGGACTCAGTCAATCGTATGCTCCATCCTGTGACTTCACTCTATTTGCTAGTTTTACTTGTACTGTATTATTTTTCCTATTGTTGAACATAGATCAATCTTTTGTAGTGATGGAAATGAGGCATGTTTGGATTATTTGCAGATATATTCAGTGGTTTGCAGGGTTGGCACCATTCTTCAAACAAGATACACAGCTCCTGGCTTCTGGGTTGCTGGTTTAAGGCTTTTTGAGGAAACTGAGTGCTTAGTTAGTAAGCAATCTGAAAAGGAAAACATGAGAATGTTCATTTCGAGGGCTCGTGAGCATATGATGGAAATTGACAATCAACCCGATTCCTCAGAATCTGCAAGGAATAATGCAAGGGGTATTTATCATTGTCCATATAACTTGAATTTAGATAATATGGTACTACTAATTAATTGGACATGACAATTTGTATTGGCTGTTCTCGAAATTTCTTTCTCTACTTCTTGATTTGAAGTTTCAAGAAATACTATTTGGATTAATGCTATTTGGGTTTCTTTGAAATTTCTCAGCATCACACTCTCTAGCTATATATTACAAGATTACTTGGATTTGGGTTTCTTGGAATTGATTTGTCTCAGTTTATGCTCTAAACTACATGAATTAAATGCTAGTTTTTCCCTTTGTACTGGCAATATTGAAAGCGATGGGTTTGGTAGTTTTCTTTGCAGGGTGTAAGTCAATAGGCGAGGGAACATTCTTTGTTTCAAGGTCTAGAAGACTTGTACATGAGTTAAGGCATTTCAGCTGCCTTGTTCTTTATTAGTTATATGTAGATAAGTGTTATGTTATTTTTCAATTAGTAATCAAGTCTAAAAATGTATTCTCCTTGTTGGGTTCTATGCGTGGATTTTGTAATGTAAGAAGGGGGAAAGAAAATCAATTGTACCAGAAACAATTTTTTTAAAAAAAAAGAACAAAGGGATAGAAGACTACACTCTCTCTCTAGGCCTATAAGGGAGTCTACCCCAAAAAAATATTTTTCATGACACAAAACAAATTATTGTTTTCTCATTTTTTTTGTCCAACACTTACATATTTATTGAAGGAAATATATACCCCAAACCTAACTGGCTCCTTAACAAACCCCGCTCACAATTAAATCCTAGCCCTTCATTGATTTAAAATTAAATTTCCAATTCTACCCTTCAATTCTCTACAATTGAAAAAGACACAAATACCATAAAGAAAACTGAAAACCCAAATAACCCCAAAACCAAATTTCAATCTCTTAAGTGTTAAAAACTTCAATTGCTTAACTTGTCTAGTATTGGTGTGTAGTAGCATTTCCTATAGGAAGTTAAGGTGTACTTTAGGCTTCACCACCAAATTTGTAAAGAGTGTAATGCCTGGAAGCTGGGCTGCTGACTTGAGGCTGGATGGAAGCCATATTTTGTTCTCTGATCAGATCCCTTTATGGAGCCTAAAGGTTCCCTAAGCCTATGGCCCTCATCATCTCAAAAGCCCTGATACTTTTTGCATAAGTCCCAAAAAAATCTAGGTAGGGATTGTCAAGTACAGTTTTTATCCTCTCTTCCCAAATTCCTTCAAAAATGTCTAGGGGGACTATCTTGCCAATAATGCACTCTCTTGAGCGATGGAGCCACTTGTCAAATTAGTGACCTGTGATATCCTTCATTGGTTCTGTCATATCCTAGGAATATCAAACAAAGATAAGGAAGCTTACAATTCCTGCTTTATTAAGAAAAAAAAAATTCCTGCTTATGAAGGAACTTTTCAAGAGGAGGTGGCCCACAATTTTATTTGCCTTGCAATACATGAATTAGGCCTTTGGAGTCATGACTTTATCTTTTGATGTTATCAGGGATCATATCTAAGGTGTCCATGTTTTCAGAGGTCAAAATATATGCTGAGGATTTGGCATCATAAAGGAGCCACCATAGAAACTTATATCTACTGCCCCCTTTCCAGCTATAAGTTTTAAGGAATAGTTTATTGCAAAGGAAGGACCCATAGGAATAGTTGAACTTCTCTTCAAGGCAACCTAAGCACCATAACAAATAACTTATATTTGATATAAAGCTTGAAGAGAAGAGAGAGAGAATTAATAGAAAGCAGTGTGTGAAATGTCCCTTGATCTAACTTGGGGAGCGCATGCCTTCGTATATTATGTACATATAATTGAATTGTACAATTATGCCCCTGACCATGATGATTATGACAACATAGCACAAAATAAAATATAAAATGACTACAGTTATACATTATACATTAAGTCTATATACTTAAAAAAAAACCCTCAAATTGGGCATCAAGTTTGAACATGTGCAATTTGTCCTTTAGAAAATGATGCTTTTCACTTGTCAGGTCTTAGGTGATGATATTAGCAGTTTGATTCTCGGCCCCAATATGGTCTACTTGAATTGCCTCCTTTTCTATCTTCTCTAGCACAGAATGATAATCAAAGTCAATGTGTTTAGTGTGATTGTGGAAGATAGGATTAACTGGATAGCTAGTGCACTCCGACTATCACAATGAATTGTTGAGGGCTGCACCCAGTGTTAAAAAATGTGGATTCGGCGCCTAGGCTTCTTGGGTGCCTTGCTGCCTAGGCGCCCACCCAGAGGCAGGGTGCCCTCACCAAAAATGAACCCCGCCCTCCCCCACCTCCCCCCAAACAAAAAAAAACGGGGGAGTTCCTAGGGCATGGTTTTAAGCCTTAGATAGTTTTTAGGGAATTTTAGAGCCCCAACTCCTCGTGAAATAGACGAATGCGTAATAGTACAATCACATAACAGATTTACGGATACAAGTCTCAAGTTTCAAAGATATTGTAACTTGTAAGTCAAAGGGATTTGGACACGTTCCATACTTCCAACCTGGATTAGTTGGCCTACTTGATGCACTAGAAGTCATTATCTCAATGAATAATAATTGATCAAGTATTAATCTATGTGAATTAGAATTAATCACCAAATCAACAAACCTGTAAAATACATAAGATTAAAGAATTAAGTTATTTACTTTTACTTTACAAATTACAATGAGACTTAAATGAGTATATAAGATCTTCGTTTCACCTTCACATAAGACTTAACTCATTAAGATATCACATAATCAATTATTTATCAAATAAAGTAAAACAAAAATAATAGAATATCAAAACAGGACACATTGTACAAAAGAGAATCAACTATTCATAAAAGAATACGATATATGCTCAATTTCATCTTCCAAATGAGAAAAAATTCAATTAATGACAAGAAAATCAATCTTTGTAACTATAAACATGTAAATATATTGTAAAAGGAAAAAAAGTAAAATGAAACACACATGATTCACAACAATAATATATTGTAGCAAAACCAAGTCAAACCCCTCTTTCAAATATGACAATACTTTAAAAATAGCAAAATCAAATCGATGTCGGTGCAAACCTAGTCTGTTGGGTCGCCAAAAGTCCTCAAAAACAACTATTAGAAGCTCCAAATCCACCCACGAACTATTGCCTTGTTTTTGGGAAGAAATCGAAAAAATAAAAAAGTTATCGATCTTTCGATAAATCTCAAAAGAGTAGTTTTGGGAAGTTTTTCTCAACCTAAAAGCCGCATTTTTGGTTTTGGGGGTTTGCAATACCCCCAAAAACACTTTTTCTCCCTTTTAAGGAAGGGGGGGATGACTTTTTTTAACTCTCAACGGGACCCATTTCTGCCTTTTTTCAACGTGTCACAAGGCGGCACCTAGGCAGGCGCCCAGACGCAAGCCGCATAATGACCCCGCCTAGCAAGCGCCTAGGCGTTTTTAAAAAAATTGCTCCTAGGGGGTCGGGGAGGCGAATTTTCGAACATTGGCTGCACCTTATAGCCAAATGATGTAATCAGTTTTTGAATCCAAGAGATCTCTGCTACGACACTAGCCAATGTCCTGTATTCAGCTTTTGTGCTTGATATTGATGCAGAATTTTGTTTCTTGCTCCTTCAAGAGACCAAATTTCTTTATAAATAAATAAAACACAGTATCGCAAAACGAACCTGTGAGTCAGGATCTCCTGCCCAATCAGCATCCAAGTGTCCAATAATGGAAGCAACGTGCACATCTTCTATATAATTTCTGTGATTTGTGGTGTTGATTTTATAGTACCTTTGATATTTTGGACCTTCTGTTTTAAGGCTTCCAAGTGAGTATTTGTTGAAGCATGCATTAGCATACCTGATTTACTGCATATGCAATGTTAGGATGAGTATGGGTAAGATATTGAAGCACACCCATCGTGCTTTTTATTTTTCAATACCATCAATTAATTTTCCTTCACCAGCTCTAAATCTTTGTTATGCATTGCAGGTATAGCTTATGGTTTGTAATTCGTAATATTTGTAATTCGTAATGTTATAGCACTCCAGTAAATCCAGTGCATATATTTGTTGAGAGAATTGAATTTTATCCTGGGTCCTATCCACTTCTATTTCCGAAAAAAATCTTAGTTTTCCCAATCTTTCATTTTAAACTTGTCATAGAGAAATCTCTTGATATTTGGAATTAAGTTCATGTGATAATAATATCATCCACCTATAAGAGAATGATCACAATAACCTTATGCCTTTACTGCATGATAAAAACTTTGAAACCATGTACGAGAGGCTTGCTTTAAACCATAAGTAGATCTCTTCAGTTTGCATACATATTTTGTGTGATCCTTTTCACTGAAACAAAGTGGCTGCTTCATATATACTTTTTCATTTAATTATCCATTAGGGAATGTGTTCTTTACGTTGATCTGGAAGAGGGGCCAATGATGTGTCAAGGCCAAGGATAAGACTACTTGAACCATGGCAATTTTAATAACTGGTTTGAAAGTTTCTTCATAGTCCATTCCATGCCGTTGGTTGAATCCTTTTGCCACTAGTCGAGCTTTTAATCACTCGATACTCCTATTGGACTTCTAATTTATTGTGTACCTATTTGTTGCCCACAACATTCGTCCCAATTAGCCTCATCACAATTTCCATATAAAATTAAAAAGGATTGCCTTCATTTATAAGGGCATTTCTTCAGCCCATTTTGAATCCCTTTTTGTGATGTGGTAGTTGGTAGGTTCCTTTTGCTTAAGAGCTTCAGATATAAACACCTGGCAATAAGCCTTCACCTATCTGTCGATCTAAATGGTGTATCATTAAACCTTTGGAGATTTTGGCTTTCTGTAATAGCCTCAATATTATATCTGTGTCTTTCCAATTCGTCACCCCCAGTACAAAAGTGTTCCCCTTCCAACAGTTTTCAAGAAGGTGCGGCGGCCTCTGCTTTTTTTTCTTTTCTCTTTTTTTTTGAAGATGGCGGGGGGGGGGGGGGGGGGGTTAAGGGAAGGAGGCCCTGGGATTTGCATTTGTGTGTGTGTGTTTCAAATTTCAAACCTTTTTACCTATTAACTAAAATTTACATGTCAAAAAAATATTAAAACTTAAAATTGCTCAAAATTTTATATCTATTAGCCATGTAAGCCAAAATAAAAAATCACATCACATAAATTTACATCCATCAGCAATTCAATCATCTCTTCAAAGTTCAAAAGTTAAAGTTCAACACATTCCAAAGTTCCAAAATCCAAAGTTCCAAACGTTCAAAACATTACATAAAATTTAATGATCATGAACTCATAAAGGGCCCAATGGGGTTTCATCATCACTTCCAACATTGTCGTCACTTGTCACCCCGACCAACACTCTATCAGACGGTGATGGTGATGGTGATGGTGATGGTGATGATGATGGTGATGGTGATGGTGATGGTGATGGTGATGCCATGCCATCATCATCAGAATCATCCCGTTCTGATGCATATTGTTCTTCTTTGTCAGTCTCTTCTGAGTCTTCTAGTTCTGGCTCCTCTTCCTCCCTCACCTTTTTTAGTCGTTTGTTTTCCTTGGACTTGGACCGCTTCCTTGGAGATTGAGACCCCTTCCTTTGAGATTGGGAACGTGTGGTCCTCATGGGGTCTGACTGGGTTCCCATAGCCTGCCTCGCTTGACTTCTGTCCAGCGTGTGCTAACTCATCGAGTCTGGTTCATCATCACCAGACTCGATCAGCCACTTACATATATCATCAAACTCTTGAACCACAATAGGATCATTAGAATTTTGATGTGTAGTGGTCCTTCAAATTTTGATTGAACTGAATGAATACAAAGTCACTCAATCTCGTTTGCCCAAGTCTGTTTCTCTGTTTGAGTTTCTGTTTCGTAAATCATAATGCATTAATAAATTAGAATTCAAATAAAATTGCCTTTTCAAAAAGTTAGAAATTGGGTAAGATAAGAAGTTACAATCTCAAAAGTACTAAAATTGTGCTTGCATCCAAATGAGCTATGTGTCAAATTTAGTATGTGTTATAGCCATCTGTTGCAAGTGCTTAGCACTTGCCCCATGGTCGGTGTCGGTCCACTATGTACCTACATCACAATATTACATTTTATAAAAAAATAATAAAAGTAATAAAGCATGGAATAAATTTGTCTTAATAAAGAAGCTAAATTTAACTTACCAGCCTTGGGAGTTTTTCTTTGTCTTATAGCAAGGTCAGTGCCAAGTGATCCCATTGCCATTCTATGTATCTCTAGATCTGTTGATACCTGGCCTTGCTCTGCTACACTGGGAATGAGTCTGACTAAGCATGTATTGGTTCAATCCATAAAAGAACCTCGAGTGTCAATCTGTGGATCATTATAAAGATTAGCAGGGTTCAGATAGTAGCTTGCCAAGTGGAGGGACCTCTCGCGCTTTGATTCCCACCTCCTCTCTACAATATCCAAAATAGGTTTATAAAATTTTTCATTGTAATCAAAATTCTGCCTAATTCTTCTCCTTGGCGACATCCATAGCCTTGTATATTAACGTTATCCACTAAGGTAAAACCCTAACTAGTGGCTTGAAGGCTTTAATGGACCAATCAACTTTCTTCTGGAAGGTTCTTGATATGACGATATGAACAAGTTCCCTACCTTTGGATGAGTAGACCACTTCATTTGGTTCCACCTTCCACTCTTCAGAAACAAATATTTTTCTTAAGTTCTCTCTTTGGCCTTGAAGAGACTGCAAACACAAATAAGATGTGGCATATCTAGTCATCCCAAGTCTCACCAACTCATTTTTACAAAACGGCCTCACCAAAGCCAAGACACATATGTAGTTGTAAATGAAACCTGTGGTCATCCTGGCCTTAATCATAGTTGACCCCTCTACTGCCTTCTTGTCAATGGTCCCCAGCATGTGGTCGATGCAATGTGTCGCGCATGGGGCCCAAAATATGAGACTTCTTTTTCTGAAGTTGCTTACCAGCTGCCATATTATGGGCAGCCATGTTAGTGACCACTGTTTTCCCACCTCCTCTAGGCATTTTTCTACCAACTCCAAAATGAATTCGGAATCATGTGCTTTATCAGATGCTCCAACCTTTCTGGTCAGACCATTCATTGGTTATTACGGTAACTGCAACCCGACCCCATAAATCCTTATGAGTCTTGAAATACTCATTGGTCGGTTACACCTCTTTTCAAAGTAGTAGGCCCTTGAGCTCGTATAGGGTAGAAACAACATTTCCAGACCCAAATTGCTCTACTGCTTCCATCGTGGCTTGGAGCTCTTCAATGTAGTGGCATTGAAAGAGATGCCCGTTTGAAAAAACCACCTAGCCACATATCTCTCCACTCTTTCTTTTCTATCATTTTTAATTGGCTATCAATTGTTGTTATGAACTTTCCTCGAGCCACAACCGCTGGATGAGGAAAAAAAGGAGGGGGGGGGGGGGGGGGGGAGGGGTGTTGTGTGTGTGTACAAAGAAGAATCCATAGGCCATACAACTTATGGCCTACTATGCCCGATCTCCGAGTCCACCATTGTCCCAGCCTACTTTCATATTCATCTTCCTCTTCTCTTTGACCCTGAATATGTATTGTTCTCCTGATCTCATACATTTTTTTAAAACCCTCTTCGTTCTTCTTTTTGAACAGTTCAAGAAGCCCCAACATCTCATTCCTAACCTCTAGTAAGACTTTGAGTACCAGGTGCAACATCCCCTTTTGTCCCGGCCAAATGCTTCTTAAATCTATTAATTCCGCATTGAATACTCTTTTACAATGATTACATTGAATCTTTTGTTTGTCTAGTGGATTTGGGCATGCCCCATGCTTCCATCCTAGATCAAGTTGTTTCCCAGTAGAGCTAGAAGAAGACATTGTAAATTTGTGACCCACTCAACAGTCAAGACTCAAAATAACTTCAAAAGTATAAAAACCCCAATATATAGCATCGGGAGTCATGATAGAAATGTGGCGAAGGTTTATAATAGCTACCAACCTAACGCAACCGTCCTTTTTCATCTGGGCTTGGGACCTGCCATGGTGGAGTTTATTTAAAAAATAAATAAATGTATATAAAATAAGATCATAAATGCTAAATTTGCAATGTAAATTAGAGACATAGCCAAAGATAGAGTAATATTTTCAAATTTACATTATAAATTAGAAACAAAGCCAAACGATGTAAATTAGAAACATAGCCAAAGATAGAGTAATATTTTCCATTTTGCATAATAATTTAGAAACAAAGCCAAACAAAGGCCAAAATATATTATAAATTTCTTATTTTGCTTTATAAAGCATCGATATAGCCATACAAAGTAATACCTCAAATTTGCATTATAAATTAGAAACAAAGCCAAAAATACATTACAAATTTTCAAATTTGCATTATCAAGTAGAGAAACATAGCAGCCTAAAAATATATATAATCACAAAAATTGTGAACGCTAAGAAAAAAAAACCGCTCATGAAGTTTCATCATAAATGTAAAGCCAAACTTAAAAAATAAACAAAAGAAAATGGCAAAGAAGCATAGCATAACAAACTACTAACAAAAAAAATGAACCTTAAACATAAACAATTAAATTTATTAATCTTTTGAAAACCAATTGAATTTGGCTTGACTCTTGCCTTGCCACTGAATACGAAATTACGAATCAATGCAAGATCGTGGAAGGTAACAAGAAGTGTATTAATTTAGAATAGCACCAAGAATTCTTCTTTTTGTTTTTTATTTATAGCCCAAAAGGATACTCTTATGTATTATACAAGACTTTCATTTTCGTGAAAGATGTCGGTCGCTATGCCAGTATAAACTGTCCCGTTTGGACTATGCTTTGATTGCGAAATGGGTTTCGTTTGGTTGCAAAAAGCTCTCTTTTGCAGCTTCTTTCTAGGATGAATGCCTTTTGATTTCGCAAGAAATTGAAACTTCAAATTCGAATTCGATCCTTAAAAAGAATTCGATTTTGAGCTAAAAAATTTGTTTTTGGGGGAATAAGTAGAGTTTTCTTGGTGGGGGACCAAAATGTCCCCAAATACAAAGGGGAGAAAATGACTGTTTTTTGCCCTTTTGGCGAGGGAAATTTCTACCCTCATCAAAAGGGCCTTGAGCGGGCACCCAGGCGGTGCCCTGGGAAATTAGTTGGCGGCCCAGGGTCACCATCCTGAATTGGGCTGCATTGGCCCAGGAAGTGCAATGAGGCCTCTCAGCTGCCTGGGCTAGACAGCTGATTTTTTGAACATTGCCTTCCAATATATGTGGAATCAGCCTGCACCCCTTTGTTTAGGATAAACAATCAACTCGTTGATGCCAACATTGGGCTGTTCCTCATATGGAGGTTTCTTATCATAAAGTTATTCAAAATCTTCGCCATGGTGATGAGGAACATCCTCATCAAACAATACTCGGCTGACGAGTGTCACTGGAAGTACGTACATCCAGGGAGAACAACTCTTCGTTTTGCATAATGGAATCATGTAGTTAAGGGCTGGGGTTCGTATTGTTTATGATGATCAGTGATGAGGTGGAGTAGCTTGCTTTTGGTCTAAAACAATTGGATCAGACACCTCCTAGGTGCTGGGCGTCCAGGACCCCCCAGCTGCCTAGGCACCACTGCGTGCTTTTTGGAACCATGATAGTATACAATTATCATACGCAATTGGGTACTCACCATCCATCCTTGACAGAAGGTGTAGACAAACTAAAACATTGGTGACATAACAAAAGCGGACTAAGAATGAATATGTCAGTTATTCTCTGCCATTTATTGGGGAGGACATATGGTGGTTCTTCCTGTGCGAATGGTTGGTTATGTCCGTGTATATGGAATACTGAACCAAATGAATAACTGTATGCAAAAGAAAACTGTTTGCAGTTTTTGCATTTTTTTTTTTTTACCTTTTTTCTGCATTTTTATGTGGTTTTTGCAGAGAGTTGATCTCATATGATTGAATCATTGAATTATACTTCTCTCCCTCTCTCTCTCTCTCTCTCATGATGACTCGCAACTTGGTCTTGACAGGTACAAGATATCTCTTTGAAGGGCATCTAACAGTTGGGTCAGAGCCCCCTCCTCCCACCTGGCTCGTGGCACAGAATCTTATTACTGTTCTTGATACAATTTCTGATAGGAATGAGAATGGAGAAACTTTTTCTCGACCAGAGAATGATGGTGTCTCATCAAGCACGAGAAATGAATCAGTGGAAAATATTGTACAAGAACTTGTACATAACTTGCAGGAAATCACTGGTGGCATAGACAACCTTGAGAGTGTTCTCGAAGCTTCGTTGAGGGTAACTCTCCTTTTCTCTTTTTCTTGCACCTTATTTTCCCATTAATTATGAGTGATAATACATGTCTCAGTGATTCTAAATTAATTTTTTGCTTTCTTATTCAAGTGAAACAACTTTAGAATAAATGGGAACTTGGTGAAACAACGACGACATGATGGAGGAAATGTAAAAAATTGATTATTCTGAAAACATGAGAAAAAGAGTTAGTTAGAAACAGAATAGGGATGCAGACCCAAAAGAACCAAGGAAAATTAGATACTATGAAATAAAGAAAAAGTAATAGTGAAATCCAGAATGTAGGAAATAATGGAAGAGAGAACAATATACACACACACACAAAATGAAAGAAGAAATAGAATCTCGGGGAAACGATAACATGATAGTGGAAATGTAAAAACTATAAACATTGAAAACGTGAGAGAAAGAAAGAGTTGGTCAAAACAAACAATGCGCATCAGAATGGAGAAAATAATTGGACAAGAAAATGAGAACAACACACACAGGAAAAAGATTCTATAAGCCCATGGGCTTATGTTACAGTATAAGCCTATTGGCTAGAAGAGAGATTTTCTCAGGCTGAGATTGTGTAGAATATCTTAGTCTCGATAAATGAACAATTTTATAAAGAAAAAATTTGAGTTCTTGAAGGTCAAGATCCAAATTTCATTAAATGGACAGCCTGTCACTCAAAATGGTGTAGTCATTTTGAAACCTTTTTTTTTTCTCTTTTCCTTTTTTTGATCACCAGGATGAGATGAGCGTTTCTGCGGGGGGATCAACCCACTCTAGCTCTTATGAGCTTATGCTACAGCCTGTTGGCACTTTGGATTTTTTCCCGCTATATACAAATGCACAGGCATGTACACAGCCATGTCCTAGTCTACCTGTTCGTTGCACAGGAAGAACCGATCAACTTGTAAATAATTGTTTAGATTTCATACTTTAGAAAATCTTAAAATTACAAATTTCTTAATTAAAATATGAAAAAGAAAGTATCATGGAAATATTCCTTCATGTCATTCCAAAAATAAAAAAGGGTTTCAAGATAAGATTGAGAATTAATTCGAACCTTATTCGTTAGGACTTTGTTGTGTAAATTATTTCTCTCTCATATCTCAGTTGAAAATGTCTACCCTGAGTCCCCAGACTCATGAGTACACCTCGTCTTTCCATGATTTTAAGATGAAAACACATTGCAAATCACTGGAAATACAGTTCTTCTGTAGATCCATCTTTTTGCAGGTCCAAAAATGGTGCAGATCTGACTATTTGTGAAGAAGTAAAACAAATGTTGCAAAAAAAAATTTAAAAATGCTTTTTAAATTAAAAAAGAAAAAAAAAGAAAAAAGAATGTAATGTAAATTTATTTCAGAAATGTAATGTAAATTTATGAAATTCCATATATGTACGGAAACCTTATTTATTAAGACTAAAGATAGGTTCTTATCCAATACTCCATATCGCTTGTAATTAGAATTCTCAAATAGCACTAAAACTATTTGTATTTGAACTTCCTAGAGGAAGATCTTACTGTTTTGGATCAAAGGTTTTGATCAAATCAAATGAAATGGCATTCTACAGTTGCCAGATGATGATGGCCATCACAAGAAATTTAGTCTCTATACACTCACATACATGCAGAGAGAGAGAGAGAGAGAGAGAGAGTCATGCTGGGAATATAGAACTTTCATTCTCCTACTACAAACCATATATGCTTATGTACATTTGAGAATGTCATCTGGCTTGGCTTTCACAAATTTCCAGGAAATCGATGGACGTGGAGCAGGGAAGGCACCACCAGCATCTAAAGAGGTGGTCGCCAATCTTCCTATCATCGATGTAACAAATGAGATATTGGAGCAGCTTGGAAGAGAGGTGCAGTGCGCTGTGTGTAGAGAGCAGCTTATGTTGAATGACAAGATGCAGGAGTTGCCATGCAAGCACCTGTTTCATCCACCGTGCCTCAAACCATGGCTGGTAAGTTTCATTTTTGGGGGGCCTTGAACGTTAGAATCTTGAGTCACATGAATAGTGCTGTGTGTGTGTGCATGCTTGTGTGTGCATGGTGCAAGCATTTGTTTCACCCTGCTTGCCTCAATCCATGGCTGTGGTGGTGTTTCCGATATTGGGGTACCTTTAAATTTGCAATTCGAATCACGGTAATAGTGCCCTCTCTCCCTCTTTGATGCGCATTTGTTTGCCCCGTTTGGCTTGTGCCGTGGCTGCTCTACTTTTTGGGGTGCCATGAAGATCAAAAATTCTGTCACCGCCAGAGTGCCTGATCTCTCCCTCGCTGCCCGCTTGTCCCCCCCTTCCCCTTCACTCTCTCTCTCCCTGACACATTTTTTGGATATGTTTTGTGATATATTTATGGCAGGATGAGCATAACTCGTGTCCCATTTGTCGATACGAGCTGAGGACTGATGACCATGTATATGAGAGCCGCAAAGAGAGGGAGAGAGAGGCGGAGGAGGAGAGGAAGGGTGCTGCCAATGCCCTTCGTGGTGGAGAATACATGTATGTCTGATCAATCATCAATCACCCTTCCACCTTTTCTATGTTCATTTTGTTCTTTGTTTTTTTCTTGTTCTTTTTCCTGTCATCTATAGAAATAGAGCACTACAACCATCTTTTATTTTTATAGGGTCATCATTTGTTAAAACATTATAAGAATGAAATCCATTTGTTTACAAGGTTAATTGCAGTTATCGGTATTTTCAACTATTGATTTGCCAAAGAACTGAATGATCTCTATTAATGCCATGATAAATTTATTCCCCTCTCAAAACTCAGTATACATGCTATGTTTTGTAATGCTTGATGGGAAGTCCCATTGCTTCATGTTTATGTGCCATCGTTAAGGATTATTAAAAATGTGTATATGGTGATCTCGTGGGACCAAATTGTACCATTAGTCCCCACAGGCAAAAGATTAGGGGATTGTTTGTGAATGGATTTATTCGAAATAACCTTGTTTTACTTTATTATCAGTTCTGAAAAAGGAAAAGCAAGAGTTTCAAAGCTCAAACTGGTCGCTTCATGGTTGTAACATGTGTTTTGGTCGTGGGAATAAATAGACCAGTTGGGTTCCATAGAGTTGTCTATTTTCTCATAAAAATTAATGGACTGCTTATTGTGTAGCTCCATGGCGGCGAACTAGGATTTGTGTAGCCGATCTCAAATAGTCGTTGGAAAGGCTATGACGATGATAATATTGTATAGCTATGCGAATTGCACTTGTACCGTAGTTTTAATCTCTCTCTCCCATTTTTTAGCTAAGTGAAATTCTCATGTTGGAGCAAAATGTAAAGTCTCTCTTCGTGGCTAACCCCAACTCAAAATAGTTTTTAAGCTTCGATCTGCATTCTGAAACTTCATGAAAAAAAATCCTGCCTTAAGATTTGCACACCAAAATTTGAACAGTTGGATCTAGGAATTTGGGTCCTTAATATACTCATCTTGTGATTCTAAAATGGATCTCAAATTTTCACATCATGAAAACCCTCACACGTCATTTGCCAGGGAAACTAAAGAAGATTTTGCGACCTCCGGAATGTAGTTTACGTCGCTCGTATAAACTGTGCACCGTGTCTGTGTTTGTGCTAATCATTTACTAAATCAATGGACTAAAGATGTCTAAATTGTTGTAATTAAAGTTGGATTGAGATGAACACAACCAAATAGATGGAGACGGATACTGGGAATAAGAGGAGAGAGAGAAAGTACCTCGGCTTCATCTAAAGAGAGAGAGAGAGAGAGAGAGAGGCTTCATCTGATAGCAAGAGTCAATGCTATGTTACTGGTTTCCCAATTGGATCATGACGGTGATCAGGATTTGGTATTGGAGTTGGTGGTGTTTCAGGAAGTGTTCTATTGGTGTAGAATATATGCTTCGTTTCAGGAACTTCTCTCTCCTCCATCGCTCCATTTTCACTTGCAATCCTGCAATCAAAAACTTTAATGAACTCCACCAGGAGAAAATAGAAAAAATATAATGGGAACAATAAAAATCTGGTTTAAATTTAATGAACTCCGCAAAGAGAAAATAGAAAAAATAAAATAGGAATAATAAAAATCTGGTTTAAAGCGAGAAAATAGATTAAGAGAACCCTCTGCTGCTTGTGCAGGTCTCACAAATCAATGCCAAGACCAAGACCATGGCCACAAAATTTAGGCGCTTCGAATTACAAGTATAAGCCATCCTCTATCTCTCTCTCTCTCTCTCTGTGCACGAAATGGGTGGTTGTGCTCACTTATATGGAGGGGAGATTGGTCATATTTACATGTCCTTAGGTTGACTAAATAAAAAGAAAAAAGAAGATTGGTCTGTCTCTAAAATCGGATTATATACTTTAAGAAAGTGTGAGGAATAGGGCAGTCCGATATTTTCAATACTGAACCGTTTTAAAAATGGATCGGTTTGACATCTGAGACATCAACTATTCTAAAAAAAACAAAAAACAAAATAAAAAGATGTAATATTTTATCAGGTGGCAAAACCAAAAAAAAAGAAAAAAATGAGGAAAAATATTTCCATAATACTTACAAAAAAAAAAAATCTTTGCATAAAAAATAAAAAAATATGACAAAAAAAACTGTAATACCGATAAAGTTTTCCTGTCACCGAAGTCCAAGTGTGTCCTAGTCTAACATTGTGAAAAAATTACTCATGGGCCCTGCCATGTGCTCCTAACCAGCGAACAAAAGCCATTACACATTTAAGGGGCAAAGAAAATACGCCCATCTCTCTCACTCTCTCTCTCTCTCTCTCTCTCATGAAGTCAAGTGAAATTCGCAGCTACATATATATCCAAAAAATAAGGAATTTGTTTGTAATGTGGTTTTGGATGTTTTTTTTATCATTTTGACAAAGACTGGAATGTGTTTTGATAATGAATACTTATTTTACATTTTTCTTTCATTTTTAGATTATTTTTAAAATATCCTTGAGCACAAATCGATTTTTTCAATCTTTTTTTTTTTTTGCTACTTTTCAACTTCATTTGGATGTGTTATATTTAATTATATTTTAAATATAATTTTCATATTTTTTTAGGATATTTTGTATTTTTTTATTTTCATTTTTAACTCTTTTTATCTACATAGGACTTGCCCAGTTAGGCCGGGTTAACTGACCGATTTTTTCGAGGTCCGGTTCATGCAATCGAACACTGCATTATAGTCCATTATACTGATTTTCAAGACCTTGACATGCCGGTCCATATATCAATCAAATCAAGCTAACAACTCACCAAATCATTCTTGACAATATAGATGGTAAACAACTCTTGATTCCTAATAAAATTAAAACTTGATTAAGACGCGAGTAGCCACATTTGACATTTCAAACTCGATAACGGTCAAGGCCATTTAACGTATGAAATCCACTGAATCGTACATGAAGTGTGCAATTTTTTTGTTTCATTTACTAAGAAATATTTGGGTCAAGATTCTTGTCCAAGGCAAAACTTAGAATCACCCTCGATCTCACATTTTTTCTTTCTTGGTTTACTTTTTAACAGACTCGGCCGATCTTGTTCGGTCTCGGTCGAGTCATAGTGGGTAACTCAAGATAAGGACCCTTGCTAGGAACTTACACAATTGATTATCCATCTCTTGATATGTGTGTCATATTTGTGCAAGAGCTGTACCAATCCTCTCTGTATTGTTCTAATTTGATTAGATATGTCTAAAGAGATCACTGGATAATGCACATCTCTTAACAAATTCAATACCTCGAAACTAATTTGTTTACCCGCAAATCAATCTCAAGGAACCCTAATACCCAAGGATAATATTCAGTTCAACAGATTTAGGGAAACTTAAAGGAGAACATGAGAAGAGAGACCAAAAAAAAAAAAACCACAAAAGAGAACAATACACTACAAATCATAATCCAAGCGCCACTAATATTGAAATATACATGGCCCTGGTCAGGCTACATCCACAGGCAACTGAGAAGAATATGTTTTTATTATCATAGGAGGGTTACAAGATTTGGGTAAATACACGAAATGTCTTGGACTCGGCAAAACACCTTTGATTTTCCTTTTCACTACCATAAAGAAATCATGGAGCCTACTTCTATTATCGAATCTCTTTCCATGTCATTGCCTATAAAGGAAAATGCTAATAAAACCACCTAATAAACATAGCACGTTGGCAAAACCCTAATCTTTGCCTCTCCCTTCTCTCTATATCATAGTTTAAAAACTCGGCCGAGGCAAATCGGGCTCGGTCAAGTAATGCGGCCTTGCCCCATAGGCGAGGCGATTTTTGGGTGAGTTAGATGTACACAATTTTTTTTATTATTAGCACAAACTACTATCAGATGTGTTAAAAGAGCTTATTGGTTAGCTCAATCAAATGAACTTTATCCCTTGAGTAAATCGCCTCGGCCAGGTTTCAAGTACTTTGATCGAGTTGATTTTTTTTTAAGACTGCTCCTTACATAAATGAGTTTTTCAAGCTTCCACTTGAAGTGAATTTCAGAATGACTTAGTTGCCCCCATATAAAAGAGAAATACTCATGAGCCACAACTTAATATCATCTAACAATCCACCTTAATACAAAACCATACCCTTATCATGCCACCAATTGTCAGTTATTTACTAAAGAGAATTTAACCAAATATCATAAGTTCTCTAGTTAATAACCTCCATCTTGCCCATTTTGAGAATTTTTTATGACACCCAAAAGAATAAAAAAAAAACAAAGAAGAAGGGGGAAGCCATACAAATGTGCCCTATGACATATCAGTGGACAACACATGACTCTATGGTCAACGAATTGTGTTCAAGTATGACGCCAAAAGGTCCAACATCGCCGTCAAAATGCCAAAAGCCGGTATCATGGTCATTTTTCGGGCACCAAGCTCTAAAGAGACTCAACAGAACGTGCAAACAATAATGGTTAGGTTTTAGGGTCAGTTGATGCTCGATCACTGCATGGTGGCTCGTACATGAACATCCATCAACTGAACCAGAGTTGGCACGGAAAAGTATACAACGAGACAGTTTATCTTTTACAGGATGGTCACTATTAATCTTCATCATTGGATGTGAAAATGGGCACCTGTATTTATTATGCATTGATCAAGCTCAAAGTTCATAAAAACGTTTTTTTAACATCCAAACTATCAAATTTTACGTCATATAGTTATAAGTAATTGTGATCTCTTTGTATTAAAAATAAATAGTCTCATTATATACAATCCCGTAATCTGTAGCATTTTTATCCATACAAAAACACGAAACAAAATTGAAGAGATGGGCGTCTAGGATATATGCTCATCATTTTAAACTTTCAAGGGGGTTTCACGTGACCCCATAGCATTGAGAATGTGGGAATCATTCATATGGGAAATTACATAAATTACCTTATCTTGGAATTTCTATAAATGGACCTCCCTATTTTTTTTAGTGCCCCATTATCTGATGGCTTTGGCTTCTATTTCATTACAAGTACAATGCAAGGGTTCAAGTTCGCATTGCCGTGATGGAAATTTGGTGGGTGAAACAGGGCCGAGGTGGTTTTTTTGAGGAATTAGGAGCTTAAGAGCCAGTTAAAAAGTATTCTAATGTGGAAAAAAAGAAGGTTTTGGAAGCTATAAAAAGGGACTGATTTTATATTGGAAATTATTAAAATTATTTTTTTAATAATTTTAAAGATATCTATATTTTTAAAATTTTATGGATATACTCATATTGTTTTGTGTTAATTTTTTTTATCCAAACCAACCTTTCATGGTTATATTAGGTCCATGATAGTCCCAATAACCTACTTGGATGCTTGGGGGTTCACAAACCTATTAAATCCGTGAAGATCCATCATAGACCTAACTTAATAGGTCCATAGTGTTCCCAAGATGAGTTCGTGATGGGTCTACATGGACCTAAGACCTTCCCAATTCAAAAGATGATTTGTAGAGGCTTGGCCTGTGAATGATGCTTGAAGTGTACCAAACTACTACATTTTCTATGAAGTAAAAAATAGCCTTGACTTTTATTTATTTAAAATTTTCTCAAGTAAATAAGGCCTTTAAAATTTGATAGCATAATGAAAAGATAAGTAAATAGTTAAATAAATAAAAGATGACCATAAAAATAACAGCTCATGAGCTAAAAATCAATATTTAAAATCATGTTGTTTTGAATTACCTATTATTTTATTTTCAAATAAATTAGTTATAGTCTTAAGATCATCACATACTTATTAGGTTTGTGAAGATCCCTCACAGACCTAATAGATCAGTGATGGTCTAAGACACATCTTGGAACTATTATGGACCTATTAGGTCTATGACGTGTCTTTACGGACTTAAGCCCCAAGCAGCCACTACAATGCTTCCTAGACTAGGGTCATGGAATTCAAGAGGCACCCAAGTAGGTGCTTAGGGCAGTCACAGACGTATTAGATCTGATCGACCAACATGCTATTAATTGGTCCATGTTTTGAATAAAAATGAAAACAAGAAAAAATGATTATGTGCAGAAAAATAAAAAAATATGGGTAATTTTAATTATTAAAAAACATATCTTTAATAAAAAAGATAATGCATATTTGAGGTGCTTTTTAAGGTGTGATGCGCCTGGCACATCGTTTTACCTTTTTTTGTAGTAAAGATGTGTATTCTTTTCCTTAGTACTGCTGACTTTCAATAGTACCAAGCCCAAAGTCTCTGACTACATTTTTACCCTCCAAATCCCCACAAACTTAACCTTTATTTAATTACCCAAAAAATATAATCATACCCAAAACATCAACTACCATTCTAACCCATAATTTTATCCTTTAAATGGTTCTTGAACTCAAGATAAATGAGTTAGATGACTATAAATTTCCCGGGTTGCTCACTATGATGTATGCATGTTCAATTTGCTAAGTATAAGTCGTACAGCCGGTGTGAAGACAATGCATATCATCTCCAATGGATAAATAGTTCAAATCAAATCGAAATTTTCCTAGTCAATCATGATCACGGTTGACTGATGCGACCAATAATATAACAACCACCAAATTGATAATAGATGAACACAAATCAAAACCAACCCAATTAGACAATAAATTATATATATAATATTTTTAAAAACCTTGATGCACTGCTAATACATCACCTGAGAATTATGAATTGACTAGTTGTAAATAGCCCCAATCGAACAAAAGATTATCCCCGAATCTACACCAAGGTATTGACTTGACGGTGATTCTCAAATATCGCAGAATGTGATACGATGAGATAGAATGGAATAGAAACAAGGATAGAGAACGGGTTACCTACTCCTAACGATCAAAACGATCCCTTTAATGAATCAAAAAGTAACCGGCCATACCAATTAAAAATAGCAAATCCAACAAGCCGATAAAGAAGAAACAGAATCTAAACAATATTTTACTAGATCCATTCATTTTTTTTGCTTGGATGAGACCTTCCAAAGCACAACGGTCCAACGGGTCAGCCAGGGTAGTCTGATCTTCATAACAATATTACCAACAATAATAGTTTTGAACTAAGAAACATATGATACCATCATTCTTCTTGATCACAAACAAAAAGGTTCATGATATCACAGTCCAGTCAGTGGGTTCGACCATGGCGGAGATCAAGTAGGCAGCAAAATTGAAGTACTAACATGTTGGGTGGGGTCCTCTATCACCATCCAACAATGGATGGAACAGAGATGACCACATGTTTAACGTGGTCGTATGGATCACAATATACGACCACTACTGCTGATAATTAGCCATAACCCCACACAAAGTAGTACAAAAACCCAGAAGACAGTACCAACAATACATATATATTAACGTACCTAATCCACTCATACTCTTTGAAGTTAACTTCTAATATTCCAGAAAATGAAAGAAAAGTTTACCTCATTTTCAAGAGTGACATTCACCATAAGAACAAGTTCTCACTCATGCACTACCAAAAAATTGCCCTTTGAAAAGCAAAACTTGTAGACCTCAGTTTCTAAAGCAAGGATTAAAACCTCAAAAACGGAATGCAAACACAATAAAGGAAAGCATAGAGCATCAGACTCTGAAACCTCGGCTGTTCCTCCTGCCTCTTGCTCTCTCAAACTTCCTCCCCTTAGATCGAACATAAGGCTTAGTGTGGCTGTGAGGCACACCTGGTGCCTTGCCAAAGTGCTTCACTGCCTCACGAGCATTCTTGGGTCCACGCAAAAGAACCTGTTTTTTTTAATACAAAAAATAAAAACATGTTAATGCCTCGTTAGACGAAAATGTTTCACAAATGTGCATCTAATGTTTGTCTAAAGGTTAAAACTTGCATAACAGGCCACATTTTCAATAGATAGTTTTCTTTTGGCCCCTTGCAAAACAGGCCGCATGTTAAAAGAAGGGGTTCTCTTTCTAAACGTGATAATCAAGCTCATATCATCTCTCCAAGAGACAAATGTGAACAAATTGTACTGACTTCAAAAAACCAGTAATATGAACAAGCTATAAATTAGAGATTGCAACAATTCTAGTATCAGGTAAGATAGTTGCAGTCAAATGCCAGGAAAGTCAGTGAGAGAATGAGAGAGAAAGTTAGAGAGAAAGAGAGAGATCTGATTTTGCATTTTGTGCGTGTTTGTTAGTGTGTGCGCCTCTCAGAGAGAGAGAGAGAAAGAGAGAGAAGAGGGAGAGAGAGAGAGAGAGGAGGAGAGAGAGAGAGAGAAGGAGAGAGAGAGAGAGAGAGGAGGCTGGTGGCTTAACCATCGACCTGATTAGGCAGGGAGAGAGATAGAAGGAGAGCGAAAGGGGGAGTGAGAGAGAGAGGGAAAGATAGAGGAGAGAAGGGAAGGAGAGGAAAGAGAGAAAGGGAGAGAGAGGGAAGGAGAGAAAGAGCGAGGCGACCTGACGGCTTAGCCGCCAGTCCGGTTAAGGAGAGTGAGAGAGAAGGAGAGAGGGGAAGGAGAGGAGAGATAAAAAAGGAGAGAGAGGGAAGCAGAGAAAAAGGGAGGCGGGTCGGCCTGATTAGGAGAGAGAGGAAAGGAGTGGAGAGAGAAGAAAAAGAGAGGGGAAGAGAAAGAGAGAGTGAGGGGTTCCCTAGTATGGCCCTTGAACCGGACTGGGGGTTAAAATGAAAGCGGGGAGTTTCAAGTAGAAAGTGAGGAGTTTTAGGATTAGTGGATTGTGGGGAAAATTTTTCTCTCTCCTCACTTTAAATGAAAAGGGTAGAGGCAAAAATGTTTCCAACCAAGGGGAACTCAAGCTAATTCTATTAATTTTTTAACTTATGGGGAAGAAGTCTCTTTACAAATGATCATGCAATGCTTATGTGCTCAAAACTAACCTTAATTGCTAAAAACTACATTGTTCATGATTTAAATTTAAATCCTATTTTGGGGGCAAAATGACCATTTTACCCCTACCCACAATTTTGGAATGGCAAGATGGTCTCAAAAAAGGAGCCATGGGCTATGGTGATCATTTGGGCTCATTTTGGGCCCTTTTGACAACCTTTCGGTGAAAAGAATGGAAAAAGTGATGGTTTCTGTTAGACGATCATTTTGACATATAACTTGATCCTCGAATCGAAGTGTCGAGCTCTAGACAAAACCAACAAAAGATTAGAAATTTGTGATCTTAGATCTTATCTATTCCTTAACATTTTAATTCGATCGTTCTATCGTAAAATGACGGGGAGGCCGCCATGATCATTTTGTGACAAGAATGGCTCGATTTGGCGACCAGATCACCACTTTCCAAATTGAGGAAGTTGTCAGAATATGGATTTCAATCGCCTAAAAATATCCCTTCTTGCAACATCAAAATACATCATTTTCGGTCGTTTATCACATATGATGATCACTTTGGACCGAAGCCCTCGACATCACGGTCACAACGGATCCGTTTTCAAGTTGATCCGAGGTCGGGGCTTCGTGATATGACTGTTTAATTGAAGGGAAATTTATGAGTTTTCTTAAACAACTTCTCTCTAGGATTTCTTCTTTCTTGGGCTATGCCACGGGCCATGCCATATATCAAAACGTGCACGTCGACGAGACGAATAATGTCTTAAAATTTTGGGTCAATCCGGCTTAAAATGGAAAATTTATTACCTTTTGAACTTGATCATGAAATCATAAGATACAGTTTCCATTTATGGAAACTGGTTCACCGAGGGTACATCAGAATAGTGTGGACTCACACTTTTTGAGTAACTTGGTCGCAGAATGGTCCAGAATAGTCCGAATGAGCTGAAATTTGATATCTGAGGTTTTTTAGAGCTTCTAAATCCAACAAAAGTAGTCTAGTGCTCATCTGAGGCCCTGGTGATAGGACTATAGTTATAAGTTTCCTTTTCGACATGTCAACGACCGAATTTGAAAACTGGTTTTGCATCTGATTCACCTTAACTTTGTCGAATCGGAACGAAACTTGGCAGATGTTCTTAAGGATTCTAGTGATACCCCCACATGATTTATGGGACCGAGCCAACGGGTTTTAAAAGTTTTCTCCAGATCAGAGTTTATTTGAACAGTGCTTCCGTAGTCCGTTGGCATTTTGGTACCCGCAGGCCTAGGTCGCAATTATCTTCCTCCTTATTCATGTCGAGGAAACAAGTATCAAAAAATACCTTATAACACCCATCTTACCTGGACTTCACCCAAAACCTCATCATTCCCAGTGTGTCATACTGAACATGAGAACTACCTAACTTCCGTAAGCCTTCATGGTGCCTAGTGACTTAAGCCATGAATGAAACCATCAAGAGCCACATGACTCATTGTATCCAGTGCGCTTTTATCACACCTGGTGCATGAAATATGCTATCATCTCACCACATGAGAGACACTTCAATCCCTAAGGTTGCGACCACCCCTTTATCCCTACAAACTAGGGCACATACCATCACCAATGGACTCACACTCCCATTACCTCACGACTCACACGAGTCCTTATACCCTCAGCAAGTGTCAGCCATTCGCCACCATGTGACCCATTCAAACCTTGACATCCCCAATGGGATATGTTTCACCTTTCAACCAGTTAAACACCAACCACTACATCCTATGAGCCTCACCCGTGGTATCCATTATTCTCAGTGAGTCCCATACATTCATAACCCCTCCACTTTTACCACCAAGGAGGAGGCCTTCATTTTTATCATTCATGTATTGAATCATGAAAGAAATAAGGATGGACGTGGCCATGAAACCACAAGTAAAACAGTTCAAAAACAAAAAAGTCGAGCATGATGAGCATCTGATGAGGATCATCATGAGTAAAAATGAGAGTTTCAAGCGGACATGGACATGAAGCCATGGGTAAAAGTGCCAACAAGAAAATCGGGCATGGTAAAAACCCAAAAGGCCCCATGAGTGAAAATGAGAATAAAGACGGGCGTGGCCACGAAGCCATGAGTAAAGCATTCAATAATAGAAAACCAAGCATGGGGGAAACCCGAAAGGGCGCTATGAGGAAAAATGGAAATAAAAAGGCAGACGTGTCCTCAAAGTCACCGGTGAAAGAGCCTAATAAAAAAGGAGTTGGTGAAAACCGTTTTACGGCACCACTTCCACCTAGTTTAGGTGAAAACCCGAAAGGGCGCCCGAGCTAATAAATAGGTTGATGCAGCACTTGCCCTATAGGTGGCTTCGACCCATTCAAAGACAACAAAAGCTTAGTGGTTTAGGAATCAATACCCCTCACAAGGGTACATTTCCACTGAGAACAAAAAGAGCTTAAGAAAACTCCAATGACTCGGGTTAGCCTCTAAAGAGCTTCTGAAGATCAGAAGAATCATCAAGATGGGTTAGCCTCTAAAGAGCTACTGAAGATCAAAAGAATCATCAAGCTGGCAAGTCAAGTCAGCCACTTGCCGAAGAGATTTTCCAATCCAAGACATCAACAAAAAACAAGAAGAGCAAGTCGACAATTCTAGATAAAAGTTCCCAAAAGGCCATTGACTGCCTAGCATGGACCAATACCACGGCTTCGAGATTAACTGTCTTATTAAGGTTCCCATCTAATGATAGGTTTAGAATTTCGGGAAAGCCACCAAAAAGCGCTCGACTAAGCTCAGTATAATCGGCTTGAAAGATACCGTCGTACTAAGGCCTCAGTTACCGATAGGTTTAGACTTTCAGGATAGGCCACAAAAAAAGCCCCTGACTAAACCTGGTAAATTGAGTATAAGTCGTAGAAGAGACTAAGCCCTATCAAGGGCTCCCCCCTCAATTGTCTATCTAAAGTAAAAATAGACAAGATCGAGGGCTTAGTGTAAAATGGGAGCATAGGCCTTAAAAGGCCCCCGCCACAAGCCTCTCCTAAGAAAAAGTTGATGGATTGGGAAGGGAATCTTCAAACAAGGCCCTCGACGGCCAGACATATCCATATTTTGATAAGTCCGAGTCCAAAGCCCTTAAACAAGGCCCCTAGTTGTTGGAACAAAAAATGCCACTGAATTAGGATTCAAAACCCAAAGGCACCCACTAGTTGGCCAAATTGGAAGCATTGATGAGTTGGGAATCAAGCCCTTAAGCAAGGGCAGCCACCATGCTCCTTTAGAAAAGGGAATCTACCAGTATTGGGTTTATCAAGTCCTTGAAAAAGGTCCACAATCGTTAGAATCCACTTCGGTCACCCCCCAGGGAAGAAGCTTAGCACGATATCCTCCTTAGAGGTTGTGTTGATGCCAGTGATTGAGAAGAAAAAAATAACATTGAGAGACAGTATAGGCACCTTAATAAGGATTCGAAAGATGAACTTAGACAGGTTTTATTCAGAATGTTATACTTCTCACTCCTCTCGAAGAGCAACATTCGGCAAGGCAAGTTGTTATAGGGTACTTGTATCGTCGGTTCAAATAAGGAAGGAGTCAGTCACAACTTGGTCCCATAAGTACCAAAACGCATGCGGACCACAAAAGCATTATATAAAAAAGCATATTTTATGATGAACTTGAAAAGGTGTCTGTCACACCCCAAGAATTTACAATACTATTATTCCGGAGATGTGACGGACACAACATATATACATCTATTGATAGGACAAATTTACAGTGGCGAGGTCCTACAAAGTAAATAAAGAAAGCTAGCG